ATAAGTAATCCTTCCAGGGGTAATAGGCCGGCTGGAGCGTGATGCTGACCCCATCACCTCCACCTCTAGTGTCAGACAGTTGAGAAAAAAGGCTGTGGGCTTTTATGGCCTGAAAAAGGGACCTAGCCTACCTCCCTCAAAGATGTTCAATTTCTTATTCTTAAACCACTTAAGTTTCGCTTTGGCCATTTGCACTGGGCCATTGCCCTGCTAAAAGGTGAATGTTTGTCCCAATTTTAGGTTTTAACCAGGTTTTTCTCTAAGATTTTACAGCCACTTTCTCATAAGTCTTGACATAAGTTCTAACCCCCGCTAAAACGATACAGAACATAATGCTGCCACTACCAAGCTTGACAGTATGGATGGTGCGGATTAAGTGATATGCTGCAATGGGTCATCAGACGTAAACCTCTGTATTTAGGCCAAAAAGTTCTAATTAGTCCAAAACTTGCCATACCTATGCAGCATCAAATACAGTAGGTGCTTTATTGGAAACCCCATGTGGGATTTGAGACTTTTCACCAGTTCCACACAAGCCATCTTTGTGGCATGATGGGGACATTGCTGATTCATGGACATTCTTTACCATCTAGGCTACTGAACTGTTTTAAAGTCATATTGGCAACCGTGACCAGTAACCTCCTTGTCTGGATGTTCAGTTTTGAAGGATAGCCTGATCTGGGTGACTTCCACTTCTTAATGACAGAATTTACAGTGCTCAAGGAGATGTTAGTGTTCATGTTTTAATCTCCTTTTTTGCACGATATGTGTTTTCATACAACAATATCCCTGACTTATTCTTAAAGTGTCTGGGTCTTCGTGGTTGAACCTTTGTTTGAAATTCACTACCTGAGAAATTATCATCACATAAACAGGTATTTTTAATTCTGAAATCTTTTTGCTTTTTACTTTGAATGTGTGAAGTAGGTTGTGTACATGATAATTGCTACAAAGAGTCATGATGATGTAAATTTTAAAGTGATGAAATGTAAAAAATATGCTAGGATTTAAATATGTTTTCACATTTAGATGTAAGGATCTGTTTCAAAATAATATTATCTTGATAATAATTTTAAATTGTCTGGGTAAATTTCTGCAATCTGTTTCAAAGTAATTTCAACAATGAAAAATTCTAAAAGGAGAAAGCATAAGAGTTAAACCACAGCAGTGCAGTTTTATTTCCATAACACTGACTGTAGCTCCCAGTTTAAGATTGCCCTCCACTGTCAGAAACCAAATGCTCTGTGAGATTTAGAAAAAAGAATCCATGAAGCAGAATGTGTGCAGCCTTCCAATTAAATCTCCCAGATGGATGTCAAGGGCTCTTTTCACTTCAGGTGAGCCTCCAGTTCCATCTGTTGGCTTTTTCTCCTTTCTTCAAACCAAAACCACAGAAATTTTCCAGGCCTTTGGGTTCTCCCAACAAATTTCTAAGTTGCTCCATTAATTTCTGTACAATAATGATGCCTCAGGCCTCCTAGCTTAGACTTCTCTCCAAAGCATTGTTTGTAACCAGAGCTCACTCCCTCTTTGTCTAATTGCAGTCTTTCACTTTCCCTGAAGTAATCAAGTTTGTTTCATGAATTAAACTGGCAGGCATTTAATAATAAACCCACTCCCCCCAGCATTTCAGGTTTGTTACATCTCTGAAACATCTTTTAATAAAAGAAAAGTATTTAAAACTTACACAAAAAAGTTTCAGAGGAACCTTTATTAAATATCCTGAAGGAGTCTACTCATCTCGGAGGACAAATGCATCTTAGAATGTGGATAGACTTTTCTTTCTGCTTGTACAATCCAATGTGACTTTCATCACTGGAAATCTCTTGGCTAAAAAGCTAGCAGTCTTGCTCTTTTAGAAAATCGGCTTGGTTTTCACTGTTTGTACACTGTTAAAATATTAGCTGGTTAAATTATAACTGTCACTGATATTTGTTCCTTACTCACTTTCAAAATCTTTCAATTCTTTCAGCAGAAGATGTTTACTATGTGCTGTTGTCTGATGGTTATTCAGAGCTTCATTTTTTGCTCAGTGTTTAGCCCAATATTTGTCAGGTCATTACTCTCTGAAGAGGTGGTAATGGAAACCACAGCTCCATCAGTCCATCAACAAATACGCTACAGAGATAGAGGGAGAGAGTTGTCAGTTACAGAGCCACTCTATGTCAAATTAAAATGAACATCATGTAAAATAAGAGAATTATCCAGTGTATGTTATCCTCTGTGCCAGACACTCTATGAGGCAGGAGGACAATACCTGAGATGCAGATGTGTTTATTTCTGAGCCAGAGTACCTGCAGATTTGTTTCAGTTGTTCCATCAAGGTTGCAGATTTTGATTTGACAAGGATCTGTATCCTAGTTGCACTATTCCATCAACAGTCCTGTCACCGAGTGAACATCCTACCATAGGGGTCACCAGAAGTTCAGTGCCTTTCCATCCTTGGCCTATCATTCCATAATCATTTGCAACATGCTGTGGTGTGCTGTGTTTTTCTTTGGTCTACTTTAGGTTATGTGGTAATAACCTTTGGGAAGTAGACTGTAACCTTCAGCATATGACAATATGGTCATCAAGTTATACAAAGAAATGAATTGATGATTCAGAGTGAACACTCACAAGAAGTGGGAAAGCAGTGCAGTTTTTATATTCCTTTTTTATTATATTTATTTCAGAATTTTTTTAATCCTGAAGGCCCACCTCTTTCTCCTTTTACCTTCAAAATAAAATAACATATAAAAACTGTTTAGAGTCTACATACCTGATTTGTGTTTTTTTATTACATTGTTTAAAGAAAGCACTTTGGTCTGCCACAGGACTTTTGACTAGGAACAGTATACAAAGAATCTGGAAACTAAAAAAGGCTGTGCACAGCATTATGCCATTTCAAAAGAAAATCACATTTCACTGCTATAGTGACAGAGAAGCCTGTTCCATTTAATAGCCTGAAAAAAAGCAGGGGTGGTAGCTGATTGCTGGGTATACAGTTGGCACCCTCTGAGGAATCTAGCAGGCTTGCGCCAAACCACACCGAGGTTTGATCAGGTGCTCCTTGCACAAGCAAAAGTACCTCCAAACCAGCACAGAGCCAATCTCATTTTATGGCTTTGTCATGCTCTTTAAGTCTTGACTGAGGCAGAAACCAGAACGCCTTGGCCTAATCTGTAAGGCAATACCCATCCTTTAATAATGCATGAGTTTTCCCCAATTTAAAATGAGGATCATATGGGAAAACAAAAAATAAATTTAACTTCTTCTTCAACCTAACCCCTCCCCCACCAGCCACCAAAAGCTTGATTGAGAGGGGTAAATATTTTATTCACTAATGCTTTAATGCAGTGTTTCCTTAAAAACAGACAGTTTTTTTAAACCATTTACTGATCATGCAGAAATGGTCCCCACCCCACATTACCAGTATTAGTAATCTCCCCTTCTAATCAATGATTACTGCTCACTCTGGAAAATTACCTCAGCTTTGACTTGCGCTTCCATTTACATATCCAATAATCTTGTCATTGATTTATGCGCCGGCACCCCCTCATTATATGTCCATTACAGCCGGAGTACTGATACAAAATCGATACACAGACGGAATGGAAGGAAAACTCAGCCAAATGAATTTAAAGGACATAGATTTTCAGCTATGGCCCTTTTATTATGGACTGTCAGCAGGAATATATCCAAAGGCATTTAACAGCTGCATCTCTAAATTTACTGAAAAAGCCAGTGCTCGTTTTGTATACAAGTACCCCATTGCACATTAGAAATTCCAAAGCCCCTGTGACTGCTAGCAAGATATTGTCTGCTAATATGACATATTTTCCTGTTTCAGGGAAGACTAGAGATTATATTTTGTGTGGAAACATGATGCATCAGGACTCAAATAACATCTGTGGATAGAATATATTTAATCATGTCTTGTAGGAAGACAGGCAGAGAGGATTGAAACTGTTGTGAAACTTTCATCATTAAAAAATTTCCAGGCTCAGAAAATCTCCCATACATCTCGTCATGTGCTAACCTTACCATCACACACTTGATTGTACAACCCTCGTACACTAGACATGTTTCTATCATCATTTATATTGGTCAATGACAGAAAGGGGAGGCCAGAACTGGTAAAGTCCTTGGGTTAAGGAAATGCACTTATATCCATCGTCTTCCTGCTTTCTCCATATTTCAGCTTAATCAAACCTAACACCAGTTACATGAACTTCAGCAATGTGATTCTGGAGGTTCAGTCACACCTCCGTGTTCATTGGTGCACAACAAATCATTTATTCAACAAGATGGTTAGACGTGGATTTTAATGCATTATTTGTCCTGTCATCTTTGATGGGCCCGGGCCTTGAACTGAGAATGAGAAGGGATATGATCACGACACCCTACAGCACTGTCATAACTTATCTCATAAAGAAACCAAATAGAAATTAAGTCAAAATGAGTGTTTATTATATAAAGGGAGAAAAGGCTAGGCATCTCCTTAGCAGCCAATAGCCATAAGAAAGCAATCTTTTGCAAACTGAAAAGGATGTCATAAGATTAGTAAAGTAGTTGTGTGAAACCCAGTAACAGCAAGGGTTTAAGGTTTCATATCACCAGCTGAGTTCAATTAACAAAGACTCCAAATGGACAGGAACTTTATGTGTTAGCGCTCCTGAGAAATTTCTAATCTTTTGATTTCATTGCTGTTTCTCTTCACAGGATCTATATACCTATATTCCTATTCTCCCCAGTTAATCATTTTAAGACAAAAAAAACAAATCTTCAAATGAAAAGCCTCTTTCTCAACATTGATACAACAGATAAAAGGATGAGTTATGAACAGGTTGTGAAAGGCAATGGCAAAACAAATAAAACGATTGCCTACAACTGATGTTCCTAGACCAAGTGTTGTAAGATTTAGTCAACTATGATTTAGGATTCACATCTGACTAAAAAGTGCCTAGCTATGGAAAAGGATTTGTGTGAATTGTAATTCACAGAAGAAAAAGACCTACCAGATATGCCTGAGGAAGGAAGTTGTTGACTCTGGAAATGCTCCACATGCCCTCTAGGTACTGTTGTGCTTGGATGGTGACAGAACTCAGCGTGCTGGTCAGGGCTCCTGTCCCTACAGTCACCTGGACACTGGACTTGGGGATGTTGCTCACCCCCTGTGGCCAGCCCAAACCTTTCCTTCTGTCTGCAGTGGAAAGGACAGAATGAGACTTTCCAGGTTGCTTGCCCGGCTGCATGGTCCAGTCCTTTGTAGAGGAGAGAGTGACCAAGCTCTGGGGTCCAGCTCTTTGGGGGATGCTGGAAAAGGCGCTGCAAGGTGGGAGGTCCGGCATGTCTTTTGTGCCCACCTGGGCAAGAGCTTGGACCATCTGGAGAGCTTCGTGTCTCAGCTGGTTGAGGTGTGCTGCACAGATTTCACAGCGACTTTCATCCTCATTCCGGCCTCTCTGTGAATACTCAGGCACTTGGAGCTTGTCGAAAAGGAAAGCAGCAAAGCCTGGATCCTGAAAAGAGAGTTTGCAGTGTCACAATGAGGCTACATGTACTCAATAATGTGGAAAATTAACAATACAGCAACACAAGGGTTAACATAAGCAGCTTTCCTGCTATCTTGTTTCAATATTCTACCAAATCTAGAGATTTTCTTTTCTGTCCTTTGAGTAGCAGGGTCACTCAGCATATTCTCAAGCCTTCTGCCCTTGTGAATATCCAAAAAGGTTTTCTCTCTTCATCCCAGCATAACTGCTTGCTGACCTATAGGGCATAAGTTATTTAGACTGAGATAGAATCCTTTCAGCCATAGCTAGAGACAATCAAATTGTAAATGTTTGTGCCAATTGCACAGCAGTTACCTAAGTATAGTGAAAGGCTAATTTAGGAAAAATAAAAACAACTGAAGCTAGAACACAGATAGCTGGGGGTAGAGGTACAGAAATTAAGTCTGACAAGCCAGATTAAATGTAATGATTCCTAAGGAAATCTCATCTTATCCTCTTCATGACTACACGGTTGGGTTTTAGCTTTACTTGTGTTATAGTCAAATCCTTTGTAACAGGTGAACCTGCATTAGTGCTTCACACATCACTGGCCCTGATGGCCTCCAGCAGTGCTCTGAAGTAGGGCCAGTTGACATGTCGCAAAGGGATGCTGCTGTTTGCACCCTCATTAGATCTCTAGCCACCCTACCAACTGACTGACTGGCACTTTCAATCCGGGGGGAGGACAGATCCACTGAATCATCTCTTATTCATAAATGATAAGTATTTACATATGATAAAAAGCCCAGCGTGAAAATAATCATCCGCTATGAAAGGCAGAGGCTTGTGGTGCACCTGATAACTACACATCCCCTCACACTTATAATTAGCCACACTTCAAACAGTCTCGCCTGTCTGTCTCTCTCAATGCCCAGGAGAGAGGATGAGGCCAGAGCGAGTGGCCCCTGCTGCTCCTCAAAAGCACCCGGCACGCGACACGATTTCATTGAAATCTCTTAAGAAGCATAAAAAGTCAAGCCTAGAAGCATTCAGGAGAGCTCGATAGGGCCCTAATACATAAATGTTTATGATGCCTCTGCTCTTCAGAGCCAGAGCAGTAATCAACTGGAATGAACTGCAACTACTAGACACTAAAGGCAAACAGCAATCTCAGTTTGCCATTTGTTTTTAGACCCCCACACACTAAACAACCTCAGCCAGCTCTCGTACAAAGTCTTAAATGATAGAACAGAAGAGGCATTCTCTCCAGAGAATGGAATAAATCACATTATGAGGGTTAGAGACCAGTCTCACTAAAGGCCTCTAGATAAAAAGTTATTAAGTCAGGCCAGCCACATGGTAGGTGAAACCATAAAAAGCATGGGGCAGTTAAAACAGTTAGCCAACAATGATCCTCCTCCCTTCCCTGATGGAAGCTATAAAAGATAATAGAGACAAAAATATATTTTGGTCTGTTTTCTACAATACATAAATGAGTGAGATTTGCTAACCACCAAAAATGTCCTACTGATAAAATATATATTTTTTGCTTTTAATTAGTCTTTCATTTATCCTTTTTCATTTAAAAAAGTACTTTTTATACCTCTTGGCAATAACTGCGCCACAGGACATATACAGTGCTTTGCAAAAGTATACAGACTCTTCCTGTGGTGCCCCATTTTGCTAAATTACAAGATAATGCTTGTCTTGATCTTAATAATTTATTCAACACTTAAATGTTCAGACTGTAGCCTTTAAGGGTTAGATGTTAAGTAAATGTCAGCAAAACAATTTGTGAACACAATATTAAGTGGAAACACCTTTGGCAGCAATTACAGGCATATTTTTTTTTAAGTATGTTTTGGTAAATGTCTACCTCTGCACAACAGCTTGGGGTAATGTTTGCCCATTCTTCATAGCTGATTGCTCAAGCTCTCTCAGGTTGCTTGGGGATTGCTCATAGTTTTAAATCCTTTCCACAGATTCTCAATAAGATTAAAATGACATAGCCACCCAAGGACAATCATTTTCTTATTCTTAAGCCACTCCAGTGTATCTCCTGCTGGAATGTGCATTTTTACTCCAGTTTTAAGCTGTTAAACTTATTTTGGGCTTAAGTCTAGCAGTTTGGTCTCATCTGATCATAACAATACAGGTGCTTTGTTGCAAACGTCATGATGGCTCTGAGATACTGGCATATTTTCAGTAATGTTTTCCATACAGGTTAACTTTGTGAAGTATATCTCCACTATTGAACTTTTAAAGTTGTCACAGTGGCATCCCTCACTAGTTCCTTGCCTGGCCGCTCTGATATGGAGGGACGGCATGATCTAGTTTTGCAAGTGACCATATTTAACCTTTGTAAGGAAAACAGAAAAATCACTGCCAGTAGTAGTATGTGAGAGAAAGTCCAGAGCTTCCCAGGCCCATATGTTTAATACCACATCCCTTCCTTTCATTGTTCACAAGCAATTAATTACAAAAAGTGTAAATCTTCACTCCACGTATAAGTCAATCACTCACATCCCCTCCACAAACCCCTACATACACTCAGGGCTATGCAGAGAGCTTAATGCAGATTTAATGCAGATACATTCCTCAAATTATACCAAAAGGCCAGCCTAATGGTCTCGTGTGTCATTTCCTGAAATAAAAAAAATGTTCCAGGAAAGATTGTCAATAAGATACATTGCTATCAACAGTCTTAATGAATGAAGCTTCTTGAAAATAATAATAATAAACTTTATTTTAATATAAAGCCTTTAAAGGTGGCTTCTCAAAGCACTTAACAGAATGACAACAGCAACAATTAAAAATAAACAAAAAATACACGCAGAATACACAGAGGAGACAGTAGATGATGGTACTAAATACAATAGGAGCAAAGGGGTAAAGAATGGAACCAGTTGAGTCACGTCCAAAAAGGGTGGTTTTGAGTCTGTATTTGAAAGAGTTTTGTGTGGCGATTCTCTGATATCCTTGGTGAGAAGAGTTCCAGAGCTTAGGGGCATAACAGGAGAAGGCCTTATCACCCATAGAGTGTAGACAGTTGGGAGACCAGAATTAGAGGAGCGAAGGTTGCGAGATGGGGAGTAGGGCAATAATAGCTCAGAAAGGTACTGAGGTGACAAGCCATGCAGAGCCTTATAGGTGAACATGAGGATTTTGAAGTCGACACAAAACTTGACAGGAAGCCAGTGCACGGACTCCAGAATAGAAGTAATGTAATCACTTGCACTAGACCTGGTCAGGATTCTGGCTGCCGAATTTGGGCCATAAAACATAACACCTTAATATACTGTCACAATGAGTCAAGTGAACAAACTTCCGAAACACAAACAGCTTAGAAATATACATATGTATTTCTTTTTGAGCATATGTTCTTTCTTCTAATCAAATTCCAAAACATCTCAGCTATTGGGTTACTAAAGCCAGACAGAAGTCATTCATATGACTACTAAGCCTCTATTTAGATCTGTTCCAGGGATCTTCTTTACTTTTCAACATCTGGAATATGAGCTTTACGGCAGTAGAAGCAAAGAAAAGACAGTGTGCGCTTTATCACAGTATCAAACCCTTCCTTCATTATTCCTGTACTCCAATAATTACAAAAGAAAAACAAAACATTTTACCAAAATACTTTGTGTTAAGTTATGCCTGCTACTCTTCAGATAAGATGAAATTATCTGCTTCTTTTTAACCATATAGACAGCAGTTAGAAAAAAAAATAATTATAAAACTTCAAATAAAATTGTGTGATTATGATTATGGTTGAAGTAAAATAAAACCACCAAACATTTGGATCCTCGGAGACATAAGACTAAGAATTAAATCCCACCTCTCACCTCAAGTAGACATTACTTTGGGCAAGAAATAAGTTTCGCTCAACACCTTATTCTATACATTGTTAAGCATTGATTTAGGGAAGCTAATAAAAAAGCAAAGCTCTCTTGCTGCTGTTCTTTTCAATTACAGAGGTTACAGACTCAAGATTCCCTTGTAAAACTGTCTTTGAAGTTTATGCTTCTCAGAGTTAGCTGGAGGTCAGAGCAAGTATTCACCTAAATCGGCATTGGGTGTTAAAGTTCCTTTTTCATTCAGAGCTTTTGTCTGCAATGTTAAAGAAAAGATCCATTATGAAGTGGAATAAGACCTCCACAGCACTACCAAAAGCACATGTATTATCCATGTAACTATCCAGGTCCAATGATCTGAAATACTGATCATTTGCCAACTTTGGCAGACTGATAAACCTGGGATACACTTCATGTTACACTCTCCCCCACCTCATTTAAAATTGGAGTTCCCTTGGCCTTTAGGGGTTAAGAAGGCGGTAAATGTCCAATGGCTGTTTCAAGCTTTCTGTTTAATCATTTGTTTTTTATAGTTGAATTGTAAAAGTGCTGCTAAAGAAGCCTGCTTCCATAGTTCTGGACAATCTGATGCTGAATCAGCAAGCATCTTCCAGCAAACAATAATGTGAGGCCTGCTACAGTTTACCATGAATTTTGAGGTGTCTTCCTTTTTTACTGATTTTTAAAGCTAGGTTGCCTTCTGCTTTGTCAATTGTTAAAGATCTCACAGCTCTTGTCAAACAAGTGCAAGGTTACTGACCCCCCCTTGCTGTGAATCAGTGCCCATCAAAGGCCTCATTTCTTCCCTCTAACCTCTTATATGCATCCATTGCTCACAGTGTGAGCTGTGCAAACCAGGGTAAGAACCACAGCCCTGAGCCTCTGGGACATTACAATGCTTTACTGCCTGTCAGCACTGATTTTTATTAAACTCTGGAGGCAAATTAAAGAAGATTCTATAGCCTTGTTATAGATACTCATGGAACAAGGATGGCATAAAATGTGGTTTCTCAATAGCCACAGATGTGCTATTGTTCTATAACTTTTGTTTTTGCATCACATACAAATGATGACTAAATGTAATCTGAAAGCACAAAGTGACTGGCTCTTATTTATTTTTTTAAATCTTTTGGCCTGTCAATAGAAAGCTCAAATGAAACTACATTCAAAATG